ATGGATATCCAGTTTTGCCAGCACCATTTGTTAAACAAACATTCTCTTCCCCATTTAATGGATTTTGGCCCTTTGTCAAAGATCAGCTGACCATAGGTCAATGGATCTATTTCTGGGTTCTCAATTCTATTCAGGAATGATGGAAGTTTATTACCTTAATGCCAATCTATTTTTAAGAGAATATTGAGGAAAGCATAATACATGTATTAAGTTTTGTAGTTTAAATCATTGTTTGGGTTCAGTAAGTTCAGGGTTCTGCAAAATGTGGTTTTCATTATTTAGTTTATGGTTCTCTTCTAGATATCATGCTCCTGGAACTGTAAGATCAATCCTATGGAAGGGTGATACTTTAATTCAACTGTTTAATTTTAATCTCAGGAACTAATATGCATTGATATTAAACATTCATGTTCTACACTCTATGAGAACCTCTTTTCTTAATTAACTCCATGGATATGAAACTCTCTGGATAGATTCAGAGCATTTACTTCATCTTCAAAAGGTTAATGCTAAGCTGCTTCAAACTGCTGTCCCATGTTCTCTTGGCCATGCCATCTAAACATGATCTGTCAAGACAAGTGTGATTGACATTTCATTGGCTTTTGATTCCAGGAAACCAATTAAAGAAAGTGTATTTATAATCGATACATATTTTTGGTAGCATAATATACCTGTTCAGTCTGGAAAGAAAGCACGTGCCTAATTAGCAGAGCAAATAGTTAAGTGTGAAGAGGATCTTTGGAGGGGAAAGTACACCACTCTTAATTTACTCATGTAATTTCTGAGATTATTCCCTGGATAGAAATCAAAGGCTAGAGAAGTGTTAAATATCTCAAAATTCTCAGTATACAATATACTCCTGTCACTTCAGGAAGGGTGCACACTTTAAGTATTGGAATCAGGAATTAAATGAAATTTGTAATAAATTAAAATGTATAAATTATAATTGTATGTAAAGGAATAATACCAAGATTTCAACATTAAATTATTTATCAGTCCAGTTGACCCCTGCCATACAAAGCAAAATCAGTAATTATGCATAGCTTCTTTAGTAATTGTGTGAGCTTCTTCAATATAAGCACTTCAGTTGTAGCTATAAGCACCTGTGTTTTTATCTTATTACAGACAAAAAGAATTGAACATTGAGATTTTGAGAGGGTGGTTACAGTTATGCTCAAGTCTGTCAAATAACTAGAATATACTCAAATATACCATTTTAACAGTAATTATTTAAAAATAATATGTGTGTTTTTATATTTTAATTTTTTTTTCTTTCTATTTTTAGGGACTTATCCTTTTGTAACGTCTTCAAATTGTACTGTTGGAGGTGTTTGCACTGGTTTGGGTATGCCCCCTCAAAACGTGGGAGAAGTGTACGGAGTAGTGAAAGCTTATACAACTAGAGTTGGTATTGGTCCCTTTCCTACAGAGCAAGACAATGTAAGCTCATTTATTAGTAACTCTAATTCAAAAATCAGTTTTAAAAAAATTTTTTTTATAATGAATTTTTGTCTCTTGTGACTTGACTTTCAGTCTTTATAAGATTGATCAGAGCAACTTTTTTTTTTTTTTTTAAATAATATGATATAATGATGCCAGATCACAGGAGGCAATGAAATGATAGACTTAATTAAAAAAAAAAAGTGTAAATTAGGGAATAGGTAAATAACAGATAAGAAAATTACATTATAGGGAGGAAGTGTAGCTTA